TCATGGTAGTTCCAACACTATCATTTGTCAATATCAATGTTTATGTCTTGGTGAATCTGGTAGTTCCCACACTATCATTTATCAATATCAATGGGTATGTCTTGGTGAATCTGGTAGTTCCAACACTATCATTTGTCAATATCAATGTTCACATCTAAGAACCTCAGACAACTACTTACGTTCACATTCTATATAATATCTGACAACTGCTTTATTGTGTTTACTAGGCTGCTGGTGTTCGTATAGGAATTATGATTCAGTCAGTAACCAACATGGGTACTGGCATCATCATAGCATTTGTATTTGGTTGGCAGATGACCCTTATTGTCTTAGCATGTGTACCCTTCATGGCAGTGGGGTCTGCTCTGCAGTTGAATATTCTTAAGGGATTCACACACAAGGATAAAGAAGCCTTGGAAGAGGCTGGAAAGGTCAGAGGTCTTTTTTTGTTTAATTTTGAAGGTATTTAGTTTGTACAGAATTTACAATGATATTTTTTTATGAGAATACACAATTTTGTTACATGTATGATTATATTTTTATAATTGTTGTTATGTTGTTATTGCAGATTGCATCTGAAGCCATTGAGAATATCAGAACTGTTGTGTCATTGAACAGAGAGAAGACTTTTAATAAACTATATCATGATTCTTTATATCCACCATATAAAGCTGGTCTAAAAAAAGCTCATGTCTATGGATTAAGTTTTGGTTTCTCACAGTGTATGATTTATTTTGTGCACGCTGCAGCCTTTCGCTTTGGTGCCTGGATGATTGAATTAGGAGAAATGGATTTTGAAGATGTATTTCTGTAAGTAATTAAACAACCAATGAAAATTTATCATAAACTGTAAGCAATGCTTGCATGAAATGGTGAGGTAGTTATTTACACTGAAAACTGTCTAAAGCAAACACCAAAAGAAAAAATAGGTACTACAGAGGTAATCAGATTATAAAGATTCATTCTTTGATTATGTCTATGGTGAAGTCATTGGCATAGAGGTTTACAGGTTGCTGATATTCAATTTCAGTTTTTTTTTGCCTTGTTTATATTTATGGTACTGGCATGCAAATAGCTGAAAAATTAATTATGATCACAAAATCTCCAGCTGCCTGGGTGCTGTTTGCATATGAGTAGCCAGCTGCTTTAGGGCTGTTTGCATGTATATATAGCCAGCCGCCCAGGTGCTGTTTGCATATGCATAGCCAGCTGTTTAGGAACTGTTTTTATATGTATAGCTAGCTGTGTAGGTGCTGTTTGCAAGTATATAACTAGCTGTCCAGGCACTGTTTGCAAGTATATAACTAGCTGCCCAGGCGCTGTTTACATATGCATAGCCAGCTGTTTAGGCAATGTTTGTATGTGTATAGCTAGCTGTGTAGGTGCTGTTTGCAAGTATATAACTAGCTGTCCAGGCGCTGTTTGCAAGTATATAACTAGCTGCCCAGGCGCTGTTTGCATATGCATAGCCAGCTGTTTAGGCAATGTTAGTATGTGTTAATCTAGCTGTCTAGGTGCTGTTTGCAAGTATATAACTAGCTGCCCAGGCACTGTTTGCATGTATATAGCCAGCTGTCCAGGTGCTGTTTGCAAGTATATAGCCAGCTGTCTAGACAATGTTTGTATGTGTATAGCTATATAGCTGTCTAGGTGCTGTTTGCAAGTATATAGCCAGCTGTTTAGGCAATGTTTGTATGTGTATAGCTTGCTTTCTAGGTGCTGTTTGCAAGTATATAGTCAGCTGTTTAGGCAATGTTTGTATGTGTATAGCTCGCTGTCTAGGTGCTGTTTGCAAGTATATAGCCAGCTGTTTAGGCAATGTTTGTATGTGTATAGCTAGCTGCCTAGGTGCTGTTTGCAAGTATATAGCCAGCTGTTTAGGCAATTTTTGTATGTGTATAGCTAGCTGCCTAGGTGCTGTTTGCAAGTATATAGCCAGCTGTATAGACAATGTTTGTATGTGTATAGCTATATAGCTGTCTAGGTGCTGTTCGCAAGTATATAGCCAGCTGTTTAGGCAATGTTTGTATGTGTATAGCTAGCTGCCTAGGTGCTGTTTGCAAGTATATAGCCAGCTGTATAGGCAATGTTTGTATGTGTATAGCTATATAGCTGTCTAGGTGCTGTTCGCAAGTATATAGCCAGCTGTTTAGGCAATGTTTGTATGTGTATAGCTATATAGCTGTCTAGGTGCTGTTTGCGAGTATATAGCCAGCTGTTTAGGTGATGTTTGTATGTGTATAGCTAGCTGCCTTGGTGCTGTTTGCAAGTATATAGCCAGCTGCATAGGCAATGTTTGTATGTGTATAGCTATATAGCTGTCTAGGTGCTGTTTGCAAGTATATAGCCAGCTGTTTTGGCAATGTTTGTATGTGTATAGCTAGCTGTATAGGTGCTGTTTGCAAGTATATAGCCAGCTGTTTAGGCAATGCTTGTATGTGTATAGCTATATAGCTGTCTAGATTATGTTTGCAAGTATATAGCCAGCTGCATAGGCAATGTTTGTATGTGTATAGCTATATAGCTGTCTAGGTGCTGTTTGTAAGTATATAGCCGGCTGTTTAGGCAATGTTTGTATGTGTATAGCTAGCTGTCTAGGTGCTGTTTGCAAGTATATAGCCAGCTGTTTAGGCAATGCTTGTATGTGTATAGCTATATAGCTGTCTAGATTATGTTTGCAAGTATATAGCCAGCTGTTTAGGCAATGTTTGTATGTGTATAGCTATATAGCTGTCTAGGTGCTGTTTGCAAGTATATAGCCGGCTGTTTTGGCAATGTTTGTATGTGTATAGCTAGCTGTATAGGTGCTGTTTGCAAGTATATAGCCAGCTGTTTAGGCAATGCTTGTATGTGTATAGCTATATAGCTGTCTAGGTGCTGTTTGTAAGTATATAGCCAGCTGTTTAGACAATTTTTGTATGTGTATAGCTCGCTGTCTAGGTGCTATTTGCAAGTATATAGCCAGCTGTTTAGGCAATGCTTGTATGTGTATAGCTATATAGCTGTCTAGATTATGTTTGCAAGTATATAGCCAGCTGTTTAGGCAATGTTTGTATGTGTATAGCTATATAGCTGTCTAGGTGCTGTTTGCAAGTATATAGCCGGCTGTTTAGGCAATGTTTGTATGTGTATAGCTGTCTAGGTGCTGTTTGCAAATATATGGCCAGTTGTTTAGGCACTGTTTGTATATGTATAGCTAGCTGTCTAGGTACTGTTTCCATGTGTATAGCAACAGGGGTCATTTTGACTTGATTACAAAGATTAAAAAAAAGAAAAGAAAAAAAACAGCTCCTGCCTGTTAGTCATTATTTCTATCTGAATATGCTTGCTTGATTACAATCAGATATATTCTAATTTCAGGGTTTTCTCTGCTATTGCATTTGGTGCCATGGCATTGGGTCAAGCCAGTGCGTTCGCACCTGATGCAACCAAAGCTAAATTTGCTGCTAATAACATATTCTATCTTTTGGACAAGGAATCTGAAATAGACAGTTCTAGCACAGAGGGACTCAAACCAGTAAGTTCAATGCAAATACATTTGTTACCTGTGATGTTATGTTAATTTTATGTCAAATGATCAACTGGTGAGGGTGCTTAGGTGGGAAGAAAATACAGAATAAAACAAGTGTCTTGGATAGTGTAGGGGTAGTTTAATCTTGACTACAACTAGCTACAACCTAACATGGTGTTCTCAAATTAATATGCATATTCTGAAAAACACTAAACTATAAAAATTCCCAAGATACTACAAAAGCAGTAATGATAATTAAAATTGTTGCATTTATGAAAGGAGAAACAGCATTAGACATGTAAATATAAAATATATTGGTGGATTCTGGAAATCATCCCATGTAAATACTAAAATGTCTCTTGTAGGAAAGAGATTGCCTCTAATTTATTACGGGATGTCCTTTTGTTGATGTTTGCCATTGTAACCTGGATTTTAGTGTAAATGAGAACAGTGGAATAGTTTGTTCTCATCTCATCAGCAGCTAGAACGACAGATAAAACTTCTTTGTGATTAATGTGGAGAGATTCTGTTTTAAGGCAATGAATTTTCCACTATGTGTACTACCAATCTTGCCCATGCTTAATCCCTAATGTTTGCACAGAAGCAATAATATTGACAACTGTTATTGGTCGCAGATCTATAAACTTGGGTTTCCCATTTAAGTGATATTTGTAGTGAGTGATAGTAATTCTTTTCACTATGGCACTTGAATGACATTAAAGAGAGGTGGTCATTGTGCAGTACATGTTTGAATTTCTTGTTAACAGTGCATTTTACACACGTTGTATACTTTACTGTGAGACCATTATGGAATATGACACAGAGCAACAATCACCACCCTTTAATCATAATCTTGTGTGTGATAATGTTTATGTATATCAGTACAGAGCAAGGACAACTCTTCCTGTGTAGACAGTAAATTTTAATAGACTTAAAGTTAATTAACACATGTGGTTTGATCACTTGCAGGAAGTATGTAACTCTGAAGTTGAATTCCAGGCGGTTAAGTTCCGTTATCCAACAAGACCAGATGTACCAGTATTAAGAGGATTAGACATGAAAGTAAATCCTGACAACGTGTTGCACTGGTTGGTAGCAGTGGCTGTGGTAAAAGTACATGTGTACAGATT